TGTTGACTGTTGGCAGAAGCTGGGGGGGAAGAAGAGGGGAACAGATCCCTCCTGCTGTGAGGACTCCTCCACAGATTGCTGGCTGGGGTCTTGGAGGGATGGGTCTAGGTTCATGTGGCAAGGGGGCTCCCCTTCCTCCTCTGCCCCAGCCTCTTGACAGCTACACCCAGGAGTTACAGCATGAGGCTGCCCGGCCTGGCTTTTCACTGTGCCAGGAACTGGGGCTGGGGAGGAAAGGAAGGCCCCTGTCCTGTGTGGACCCAGCTCACCCCCCATCCTAAAACCCCGACCAGCAAACTGTGTGTGGGGTAGGTTCCTTGTTGCAAGGGTGGTTCCCTTTCTACCTCACTCCAGCCCCAGTTCCCAGCATGACAAAAAGCCAAGCCAGGTAGCCCTGTGCTGCACTTCTTGGCTGCAGCTTTCAGGAGGCTGGGGCAGGGGGAAATGCACCTGGGCCAGTCCCCCACCCCCCCACCAACTCTGAGACCCAAGTCAGCAAGCTGTAGGAGGCCATTGCAGCATGAGGTCTTCTTTCCTCCACACCTCCCTGCCTGAATCTCCTGACAGCAGCGGCCAAAAGTTGCAGGCTGAGGCTGCCTGTATCAGCTTTTTGCTGACCTGGGAACTGGAGCCAGGGGGCAGGAAACAGAGCCTCTCTGCCAAATGGCTCTGGCCTGGCCCCCACCAAGACTCCAGCCCACAAGCTTGGTGTGGGATCCGTTCAGCAGATAGATTCTGTTTCCCTGTATCTCACCCTCCTATGCAAGGAGGCAATGGAGCCTTTTCTGTCTCCTCTCTGTGACAGCCTGGGGCAGAGCTGGACTAGTGCTCACCTGGAGCAGAGAAACACCAGCCGAGGCTAGCAAGCTGCCCAGAGAGGGGCCCCTGGATGGTGGTGGAATGTGACTTAAATTGAAGCGTGATCAATGTGGTACATTAAAAAAAGAACTATAACCTCAAGAGATTTTGTCTGATACCACATCCATCAAGGGTTAAGTTATAGCAGGATTCACCATTTAAGTTGAATGAATGTTTGTTTTGTAACAGCTTTAAAGCTCTTTCTGCATGTTTAATGTGTTAAGTGTTGTCTTGGAGGGTTAGTTTGTACCTATAGTCACCATTGAACTGAGGTTATGGAAACTAAGCCCGTTTTTACATTACAAAGTTCTGTTGGCAGAGCTACGTAGGTGGGGAAAAATGTAGCACTCAAGTTATTATTTGCTTTGCTAGCAAAAACTCTGTTTTCTGTGCAGCTCTGGTGATAGAAAAACTCCCTGCCAGCAGAGTTATGTCCACACCAAGGGGCCCAACTGCCCTAGTGCTGCTTTTAAAGCTTAAATGACTGCAACCTCTATACATTGCAGATTTAAAGCTAAATCCTGTCTTGTCCTCTGGGCCATGATACAGGCTTAAACCAATTGTTAAGAATCTTCCTAAGTTTTGCATGCAGGATAAGTTAATACCTTGGAGTTGTGAACTGCTCTGTACATTATAATGAGATTCCTGACCCTCAAACCTAACATACTAGTTTAAAGTCAGCATTAATCATTTAACTGTTTCACATTTTAGAAGAAAATATCCTGCTAAGGAGAGAACTAGAATTAATGACAAATGAGCTCACTTACAGACAGAATAGATGCAATACATAAACATTTAAATCCTCTAAACAGCATTTTTTTCCACCTAAATTGTTATCGTGGGGAAAAATCACTCCTCTTTACCACATAACCTGTTGAACGCCTTCAGTTTTGTTGTCTAAAATATAGGTGACAAAATGCTTTCATCTCAAATATAGATTATTCCAGAACCTAAGATACAAACTACCTTTTGGCTGAATTAATATGCACAATTTTGATTTATGAACACCTTTAGTCATAACATTTTCCATTTAAGCCATGATATTTTTCATAATATCTTTTCATCAAATCACTGTGTCATAAAACTCATTTTATGATGAATATTGAGGCATATAATGGGTTGTACAACATATTTTTCCAAGGTAAGTCACCCTTAGGAAGATAACAAAGAAAGCATTCTCCATCAAACAGAGTGCCTTAAACAATACAGTCCTTCACTATCTGGACCATATGTTAAGTCACTCCCTTCCTTAGTTTCCTCAGCTTTACTCTTTCTCAGACTTTCTAACCTCTTCAGGAAAAGAACTCCATCCTGCGAATCCCTTTATGACATTTAAACTGGGGTTTTTCTCCAGGGCCTCAAAATCCATCCATCATTACCAGTGCTGCACTGCTCCAGCGTTATTACCATTCCCCCCCTTTCATCTCTCATTTTCAGTGCTGTTGCTCTTTTCCACACACATGCACACAAACCCTTACCTACCAGAGAGCAGTGCTGTGGCCAGTGTTCATCATGTTAAGGTATAAGAATTTTCAAAACTGGAATTTTTACTATTATCTCATGAACCAAGGCATCATTCCTGCTATACAAAGCGTGAGAGAAGTGGTTTTGTAAAGCCCATATAATTAATCGTCTGAAATCTTGGCCTTGCAGAGATGGTACTATGAGCTTGCTTCTTAACTATGCTGAGTTTGGACAGTATTTGGAGAATATTTTAATTATTTTCAAGGATAATAATCATATATGATTATATAGTGTAGCTCTTGTTGCATTTTCTTTTTGTTATTGTTTCCCTTGTGCTTCCCATTATAAGACCCAGCTTTCAACTCCTTATACATTTCACAAGAAGTTAACCATTCAGGCAGAATGTTTCCATGTTATATATTTTCCTCTGATTATTTTTATTTTATTGATTGACTTCTGCCAAATTGTTCAGTCCTTTCCAATAACAGGACTGATGAAAAACACATTTTTTGCTCATATCAGAAAAGAATGCCTCTTTTTTAGGGCAGGAAATTGAAGTTTATCAAGGTGGTGGGTATAGTTAGTATTGTGATTTTTGTGTTCTCTGTTAAAGTCTGACTAAATTGAGTTAACGTACAAATCTAGAAAAAATAGAAGCAAAAGAAATACTGGGAAAAAACAACATAGAAATAACACAGTTAGTAAAGCCTTTCATCTTCATAGCAAACATTGCTGAAGATTCTATCCACACTGAGCAAACTGTGTTATCCTAGCCCAAACTCCCAGTTTACATCAAGAGAGAGAGGCATGCTAAGTACAACAAAAGAAAGTGGGGATGAAGGCCAAAGGTACAAATTAAGATCTTGAGAAATGGGGGATACAGAGATTACTGAAAGCCCTTGGAGCATCTTCTAATTATAAGCATAATCATGTCATTTTAGAAGCATTTTGATGGTCAAGGATTTTTAAATGCAACATAGAATAGAAGTCCATTTTTCTGATAAAGTAAGAAATGTTGAAACCGACTGCTGCATAGTAAAATTATGTGTTTCTAGGATCACTTGCCCAAGTTATATACCAAGATAACTTTCACGCTTTTACAGTTACTCTTTACTTACAGAAACATAAGTCTGAAAAGAATCAGGCCAGATCATTCAAATTTTATCATCATTAATTAAAAAAAATATTCAGGAGTTAGAGGTAAATTGTATATTTCAGTTTGTACTGTGTAATAAATGAATGATAGAATAACTTGTGTCAGGCCTGTACCTGCAATTATTTTGAATTTTGTTAATTGTGCAACAAATTTGAATTATTCCAATTAAAACAGAAAAGGAAAAGATAACTACAAACGGAAACACATAAGCACCAGATTTGGTGCTAAAGAAGGAAGCTGATTTCAAATGTCAAGGAAAATTTTGATTGAATGCTGCCAATGCAGAGAGAATTAAAGCTCATATGCACAAGACAGGCTCATGGAATTTTCCATTGGGCTCACCCAGCCTGTGTCCCCTGGGAGACCCCAAGAGCTGTCAGTCAGGCTGACCTACTTTTCAGCCCTGCGCATGCTTGGTAACAGCCGAGAGCTCAGACTCACACATGCTCAGCCAGCTAAGAGCATGATGTCATTCGGCTAGAAAGTTCTTTGAGGGACACATTCTAATTGGCCACCAAATTGTTATAAAAGGTTAAGGAGCCCCTCCCTCGGGGGGAGAGCCGTTCAACTGAGGACAGAGGCTACTTCTTAGGGACTGTCCCTCAGTTAGGTCTCCTCCAGCGTGGGCTCTCGCTGCTTTTCGTACCTCGGTCTTGCTGTGTTGATTCTCTGGTTACTGGACTGTTCTGGCTTGGACTCTGACTTCGCTTTCGGATCACCCTCAATACACTTGCTACGACTTACCTGGCTTTCGACTTCGGCTATCACCTCGACTATCCAATCGTCCTTCGGGACTGGCGTCACGACTCATCGAGTTACAGTTTGTCCTATCATTTGTGTTTATCCTTTTATGAGCTGTCGACCAGCTCTGGGACTAGCCAGCAGGCAGCCGCCCCTAGCTCCAGCTAGATAGCAAGGGCTTGCTGGTGAACCCCGTGAGCCAACAGACCCCTCTGTTTGTTACCATCCACTGTAACTGAAGATCGTTGCCTACGCCTCAAAAGTGTAAGTCAAATAAATCCCACTTGTTTAAGAAACCACACGCTTCCGTGCTGCTCAGTACTCCATTGCCAAAAACTCCCACCTGTCCGCTCCAATTGCCACCACCCGGCTGCCCCACCGTGACCACGACCGTGAGCTTGGCTCGCAAGCTCCAGGGCTGTGACATCAAACAAAGAGGACAAAGTAATACAGAATAAAAGAATCAATTTTGGATGGAGATAATTAGGCTACTGACTGGAAATACAATGATCAAGCTATATTTTTTTAAAAAGGTATGTTTCTGATGCATATTTTATTGCCAGCTATGATAAATGGAGCAAAAGCACTGATATATGCCAAGGGAAGGGATAACCTGGACAGGAAAAATTTAGAAGAATTGAGTCATGTGAAGAGAAAAGAGAATAAAATGTAAATGGGAGGAATTACTTGGGGGGATGGCAGCATTCAAGATGAAGCTACCACTGAGAATACAAATAAGCAAAATTGCACTGCTGCAGCTTCAGAAGCAAGATAGCTTTACCTCAAATACCTAAGGAAGGAGCAAGTGCTGACTCCTCCAAGAAGCTTCCCCTTCCACTTCCCTTTCAGGAGAGATCAACTGCTTATGAGTAAAGATGGAAGAAGCATCATCCCAGATGGCTGGGAAAGACAAAACAGAAGCTCTGTTAGATCAAATGCACTCAATGAGAGACCATGAAGATGCTGGTGAAAATGTATTCCCAAAACAACACACATTAGCTTCCAGTTCCTTGGGGATTGGTATCTACTGGTTTTGGTATGCTATGGGCTCTGCATGAATTGCCATTCCTGGAGCTGAAAAGAAATGTTTTCCCATTAATATAATAGCTGTGACAGAGTGGGTTTTCTCCTTTCCTCACAGCCCAGGGACCTGGTGTAGGTGAGGAAATAAAATGTTATTCATTACATCTTCTCAGTTATCCATTTGATCGGGGATCCAGTTCCCTGACAACCAGACTAGGAAGTGTACTTCATCACATAATCATACAATAATAGATCACATGAGTATTATAATCATTACAATCATAGATTATTATAAACATAACCCTCCCAGGGCTTTCAGACTAGGGAATCCTAGCTTTGTTGGTCTCCCAGTCCCCACTCGCTGATCACAGAGCTAGAACTAGGAAATAAGAATCTCCCAGCCCCTGTTCCCCAGTTGCAAGTGTGGAGCTGGGAGCTCCCTGCTACTGGGGCAGAAGGTCGTTGTCTCCTCCCAGGCTCCAGTGGTGGAGCCCACTCTGGCAGCAGCCAGCTCCCCAGGGGCAGGGAAAAATTTCCCAGCCCCCACCAGGAGACAGCTATCTCCTGGCCCTGTGTTCCCTGCCAGCCCCTGCGTTAACATCCAGGGGGAGCCCAGAGCTCCTTTTGACTGCTGCAGGGGGTGCGTGCAGGGCTGGTGGATTGCTGCCATGTTCAGCAAATCTGCTCCTACTTCCCTGCACATGTAGATGCCTGCCCAGGGTCAGGTTACTCAAGAATAAATGACTCTAGAGTAAACCTACCCCAGAGCATTTGCACATGTAGACATTCCAACTGTTAACTTTACAAAAGCTAAGATCATTTACCAATCCACCCCAAATGAACCAGTTGCTCCACCATATATTACAATTATAGGGTGAGCATTTCCCCTACCTGGGTAGCCACTTTTCCTGGAAAGTTAAAACAAAAAAAAATGATATTCAACACTGGATACAATCTGCTGGTTCTGTCTTTGGATGTGTCCAAAATAGTGTCTTCAGTGATCATGACATTAGGACCCAAACCCAAACCCTACCCTGTTGAATGGGTATGCTACTCATGACATATTGGATACACCTTTGGAATGTTACTATCAGCAATGCCTTCAGAAATCTTTCATATTAGTTGGACAGAGAGAAGAATAAATGCCAGCATTTTGGCTCAAGCAAACACCACCAGCTTTGAAGCAAAATTTATGCAACACCAGCTCTCTTGGACAGGATGTGTCATGTGGATGCCTAACAACTGGTTTCCAAAACAGATCCTGTACTCTCATCTTACCAATGATCACTGCTGTATTGGTAGATGGGAGGAAGAAAGATGCAAAGACATGTTGAAGACCAATTTGAAGAAATGCAAGATTAACATCACTACCTGGGAGACTCAAGTACTGAACTGTCCCCAGTGGCACTGTTAAATATGACAAGACATTGATCATTTTGAGCAAACTCACCTCACTATGGAAGTGGATAGATAAAAGTGATAAAAGGTACAGAGCTGTGACCTGAAATCACCAGGATCTACTCCTTACTCCTGTAATTATTTGTCACAAAAGCAGTCAAACATGCAAATCTCTGATTAGCCTCCTCGGTCATCTACAAACTCAAGAATGACTTCCTTATTTACAGGAAGTCCTTGTATCAAGGAACTGGTGACAATAATTTAACACCTGTAGACTTAGAGATAAATACATACAAAGATTGGGTTATTAATTTTTAATATATTTAATTCCTTTTGTGAATATTGCGAAGGCATAAAAAGTAGCTACTTAGCCATTCTGGATAAACACAAATACATTGATGGCTAATATTTTTAAAAAGTTTTTCATCCAAATGCAATAGATCCTCACTATTTTGCATAGCAGTTATACATAGCAATCCTCATCATTCCTATGTAACACAGATTAATGCCAACCAAGAAAAAGAAAACAGACCAAACAAGCAAGATGTCAGATACTTGACTGAGTGTCCTGTGCTACTTCTCTCCATAAATCAACCTCATCTCCATCAAATACAATTCAGAGAAAGCAGCCAAACATATTCAAATGGCTCTTCCTTAGTACTTTCTTTCAAATTTTGAATTTGGTCTTAATTTTATCAGGTTTACTCCAATACTCTAAAATTCTGAGCTACCATAGAGCATGACAAATTGCTTCTTTTCTCACTGTAGGAAGTAAAATATTTCTATTTTTTCCCCTCACAGACTCTTGAAAGAGGCTCTAATTAAAAAGAAAATATTAAAATGATTTGGGCAGATGACTTTATTAAACCAAAAACCCAATATATTTAATCTCACTATGCCCAGAGTTAATAAACACATTTGAGAAATTGGTGGGATACATAATCAAGTGCTGCTTTCAGACCCATTCTCCTGAGCATTTCTTAAAGTTTGAATACCTTCTACATGTGAGTGGGTGCATCTACTTGTGCATTAATGTGCTTTTGTTAATGCCCATTAAATTTAGTACCTCCAATATATAATACTAAATAAATAAATGTGCATTAGGCTGCACTAATACTCAGCAGTGCAAGCGCATGCTTTTTAGGTGACACTTAATGTGCAGTAGCCTATTCTACTGCCCATTAGTTTATTAGCATGGTTGCTTATGTGCTGCTTTAATGTGCAGAAGGATAGACTTCTACGCATTAAACTACATGTGTAGACACGCCCAGTGTTATTTTATGGCTATAAAAAGGGGTTTCCTCCCAAATTTCCTTCTTCAGTCAGTGATACAAGTGACAATCCCTGAGGAAAATAGAATTCTCTCCAAAATAATTTATTCTTCTCTTATTTGTCCTACCACCAAAGAATGTGTATTCTTCCTTCCTCTCTCAAAGAACTTGCCAGTTGTATTTTGCTTTCCAGTTCCTAAACCTATTCATCCTTATATCTCCTCACCTCTGTCAGGGACAGGCCCCAAGGTCACGGTGGGCCCGAGTACGGATCGGATCAGGTGGGATTAGCGGCGAGGAGTTAGAGCGGTTCGGGACACGTGCGGTTTCAAAACAAAGTGATCTTTATTGGTTACTTACGCCCCAAGATGGTAAGGTGGTGTAGGCTGGTTCAATCTTAGGCTTGATTACAATGGTTCGAGAAACAAGAACATGAAATGATGAATGATGAAGAAACGTGGACGATGCCGGGTCGGTAACAGTGGCAAAGAAAAGTGAACTAGAACATGGAGAACTGGTGCCGTAGTCAATGCCAGAACAATGTTCAGTAACAGGTGATCGGTACGAAGATGGGTGATAGTTAAGGCAGAAGTATGCCGTGAGTCCACAGTAGCGGGGAGACCAGCGGAGCTCTGAAGCAAACCAGGGCTCTAGGCCTAAGAGGCTCTCCTGAGAGGCAGTCTCTGCAGTAGCAGTCTCTGCTCTCAGGTCAGGTCTGGTCTCCGCCATGGGCGGAAACTTACAAGCCTTTTATATTAAACAGGTAGCCAATCAGGTAACCTTTTCTGTGGAAATTTCTAATCAAATTATGTCATGCTTGGAGCAAGACTGGGCATGTGCATGTGCATGGTAACAAGTCAGGTTACCTCATGGCAGAGCCATGATTGACAAGCCTGAGGTCATACAGGGGGCACGTGCTGGGCATGCTTGTCAGCCCTCTGGGGATTTTCCATAGCTTGTCTGCGCATGTCAGTACTTAACCCTGTGTTAACCAGCACTGTTATCAAATTTGGTTCTGACAACCTCTCTCCATCACACCAAATTCCTATCAACCCAGTACCTTAAAGAAGCTTTTTCCCTGGAAGCTTCTCTTTATCCTGTCATTGTTGGCTGATGGATTAACCTTTGAATGTGAGGTAGCTTATTAATTAGGAGAAAGGGGAGAAGATTGTTCCTAGAAGTGGGGAGATTTAGACTGGGTCTTCGTTGGATCTCCCTTGACTTCTAAGGTTCCCTACCTGTTGTGGGAAGTGAGGTAGAGGACTGGGTGTCTCCTATTTGATGAACAAAATAGAAATGGGTTTTGTTTTGGTTTTTTTCCTTATGAAGTGGCAGAGAGTTGAGAATGAGGATAGAAGTGGGCCTCTAACTTAATTTCCAATAGTGACTTTTCAAACTCATTGTTTGAAACAGAGAAACAATAAGGGAAGGAAGATAGGACCTTTGTATTGAATGACTCTTGAAACAGCCATAGCTTATGTCTGCTTTCCTTAATATACTGCCAAAACTATTGGAAGGGATGGTTAGATTTCCACAGTTCTCCTTGATGAACAACCTTGAAGCACTTGATTTTAATTCAGTTCCTGGCAGCAGCCAGCTCTACTGTGGCCTAATAAAGGACAGAAGAAAACTTAAGATGATCATGCTTCAGCATTTTTAAGCAAAAAATGCACCCTTTCTGTCTCTTCTTATTAAACCCTGAGAACCCTAAGAAGTGGCAGTGAGAACACCCTTTTTGTTGTACAAGCCTAATTTAACTAACTTTTCTTTTTAAATTGTGTATAAACATGGGGGGACATTTAAATTCCCTTAGTCCCTGTAGCCAAAGTGAGCCATAGCTATTCATTCTTGTCAAGGCTTATGCCTGATAGAAACTGGCACGTGCTTCTTCATGCAGATTTGCTTTTCAGAACTATTTTCTAAGTGAAAAGAATCACTGAAAACTGCAAGTGGAAACAAGTCTCTCTCTCAGTAAAAATTAAGAACCGGTTAAAACAAGTAAGGTTATCTAGGAAAAACTACCCAAAACTTGAAAACTCAGCAAGCGTTTTATTTTGAACGTCTAAAGTTTTAAGCACCAAACAAACAATAAAATAAAATAAAATAAAATAAAATAAAAGGTTTTTAAGTGTTTTTCAACTAAGCCCTGGTTGTAATAATCATTATTATAATTTTAAAAAAGACTAAATATATTCAACTAGCTG